GATATCGAGTTAGAAAAATTACAAGGCATTATCTACATTCGTTAGAAAATATAATTAATGAGCATATCTCTCAAATTTTGTAAACGTCATGTCCATCTTACAACTTAAATAAATTCAACTAATCGATTGTCGATGCTTGAACGAGTTGTGGGTGATCATACTCGTGTTTATAAATAGAACGTTGAATGTGTTGTTTAACGGCACTTTTGTCGTTATGTTGATTTCTTCAATATTTTACTTCGTTTTCACCATAACGATCTCAAGCATTGAATTCCCTAACTTAAGAAAGTTGAAAAGGTTAGTTATGTGACAAATATTGGTAAAATTGACGTAAATTGTATGATATTGAGTTGGAGAAATCACAAGGCATTATCTACATTCGTTAAAAAATATAATTAATGAGCATATCTCTTAAGTTTTGTAAATATCATGTCCATCTTGCAACTTAAATGAATTCAATTTATCGATTTTCGATGCTCGAATGGGATATAGATGCTCATACTCGTGTTTATAAATAGAATGACACACGTGTTTTTTAACGGCACATTTGTTGTTATGTTGATTTCTCCAATATTTTACTTCGTTTTCATCATAACGACATCAAGCATTGGATTCTCTAACTTAAGAAACTCGAAAATGTTAGTTATATGACAAATATTAGTAGAATTGACATAAATTGTATGATATCAAGTTGGAGAAATCACAAAACATTATCTACATTCGTTAGAAAATATATTTAAGAGAATCTCTCAAATTTTGTAAATGCATGTTCATCTTGTAACTTAAATGAGCTCAGTTTATCGATTATTGATGCTCGGATAGGTTGTGGGTGCTCATACTCATATTTATAGATTAAACGGCTTGTGTCGTTATGATAATTTCTCCAATATTTTGCTTCTTTTTCACCGCAACGACATCGAGCATTGGACACCTTAACTTAAGAAAGTCAGAATGTTGATTATATGACAAATAACAGTAGAATTGGTAGGGATTATATGATATCAAGTTTGTGAAATCACAAGTAATTATCTTCATTAGTTAAAAAAATAATTAATTCACATATCTCTCAAATTTTGTAAACAGTACATCCATCTTGTAACTTAAATGAGTTCAGCTCATCCATTATTGGGACTCGGATGGATCGTGGCTGCTTATACTCTTGCTTATAGATAGAACGACACTTGTGCCGTTATGATGATTTCTCCAATATTTTGTTTTTTTTTCCACCGTAACAATCTCAACAATTGGACCCCCGAACTTCAAAAAGTTCAAAATATTAATTATGTAATAAATATCAGTAGAATTGATATAGGTTATATGATATCGAGTCGGTGACATCACAAGTCATGATCTATATTTGTTAATAAATATAATTAAGGAGCATATTTTTCAAATCTCATAAATGGTATGTCCATCTTGCCATATAAATGAGTTCAACTTATCGATTATCGAGATTCGGAAGGTTCGTGCTTGTTTATACTTTTGTTTATAGAGAGAACGACACAAGTGTCGTCTAATGGCACTTATGTCGTTCGGTTGATTTTTTCAATACTTTGCTTCATTTTCACCACAACGACCACACGTATAGGGTGCCCTAACTTCTCTTGTGTTGTCCTCATGAATGAGTTTTTGTATTGTTAAAAAGTCACTTGAGCAATTGAAATGAGCAAATCTCTCAACTTTTAGAGACGATATGCCCATTTGCAACTGAAATGAGTATAACTTATTGATTCTCGGGGCATGGATGGATCGTAGCTATGTATACTCGTGTTTATAGGCTGAACGACACAAGTGTCGTTTAGCAGCTTTTGTGCCGTACTGTTGATTTTTCAAATATTTTGCTTCTTTTCCAACTCAACGATCTCAAACATTGAATCCTATAACTTAAGAAAGTAAAAAAGGTTGATCATGTGATAAATAGTTGAATTGATATAGATTATATAATATTGAGTTTTGTAAAATCACAAGTCAATGTATTGATATGTTATAAATATAATTAATGAGCACATCTCTCAACTTTTGTAAATGACATATACATCTTGCAATTGAAAGGAATTTAACTTATTGGTTTTCGAGATTTGGATGGGTTGTGGCTGCTTATACTCGTGTTTATAGACAAAACGGTACAAGTGACGTTCTCTTTACAAGTACGGCACAAACGACGTTCTCCTGGATAAGCTATATTTCTATAACGGCACTTGTGTCGTTCTTTTAAAACTTTTCATTTCAGTAACGACACAAGTGACGTTCTTAATAACACTTTCATTATCTAAACAGCATTTGTGCCATTCTCTTAGAACTTTTCATCTCAATAACGATAAAGTGTCGTTCTCAATGACCTCTCATCCTCAAGCATTGGATCTCTAAAGTACACATGAAAAGTAGATCGCGCAGCAAAGAACGGTTGAAAAAACATAGATTATTTGACATAAAGTTGATGAAAGCACAAGTGATTCTATTATTTTCAAAAAAATACAAGCAATGAGCATATTTCTCAATTCTTTTTAAATGTCATGTCAACCTTATAACTTAAATGAGTTCAACTTATTATTTCTCAAGGTATGGAAGAATTGTTGATACTGAAACTCGTGTTCATAGATAGAACGACGCAAGTGTCATTTTATAATCAGTAATGTCATTGGAGCTATTCTATTGATTTCTCCATTATTTTTATTTGTTTCCAACGCAACGATCTTCAGAATTGGACATCCTAAGTTGTTCCATTTTCATTTAACTTAAAAGAGATTAACAAAAATGTATGAAAAATCAACAAAACAACACAAATGTCGTTATTAATATGAAAACGACCATTGTGTCATTATAGGATTGTTTGAGCCCCCTCTCTTTTTCTTTTTCTTTTTTTAATAAGAATTTTCTAATAGTGTTTTGATGGAGAATGTGTAGCTAAAAAAAAAAAAAAAAATTTCAGTTTGCGTATATATTATTTTAACGGTACAAGTGACGTTCTCTTTACAAGTACGGCACAAATGACGTTCTCCTGGATAAGCTATATTTCTATAACGGCACTTGTGTCGTTCTTTTAAAACTTTTCATTTCAGTAACGACACAAGTGCCGTTCTTAATAACACTTTCATTCTCTAAACAGCATTTGTGCCATTCTCTTAGAACTTTTCATCTCAATAACGATAAAGTGTCGTTCTCAATGACCTCTCATCCTCAAGCATTGGATCTCTAAAGTACACATGAAAAGTAGATCGCGCAACAAAGAACGGTTGAAAAAACATAGATTATTTGACATAAAGTTGATGAAAGCACAAGTGATTCTATTATTTTCAAAAAAATACAAGTAATGAGCATATTTCTCAATTCTTTTTAAATGTCATGTCAACCTTATAACTTAAATGAGTTCAACTTATTATTTCTCAAGGTATGGAAGAATTGTTGATACTGAAACTCGTGTTCATAGATAGAACGACGCAAGTGTCATTTTATAATCAGTAATGTCATTGGAGCTATTCTATTGATTTCTCCATTATTTTTATTTGTTTCCAACGCAACGATCTTTAGAATTGGACATCCTAAGTTGTTCCATTTTCATTTAACTTAAAAGAGATTAACAAAAATGTATGAAAAATCAACAAAACAGCACAAATGTCGTTATTAATATGAAAACGACCATTGTGTCATTATAGGGTTGTTTGAGCCCCCTTTCTTTTTCTTTTTCTTTTTTTTAATAAGAATTTTCGAATAGTGTTTTGATGGAGAATGTGTAGCTAAAAAAATAAGAAAAAATTTTCAGTTTGCGTATAATATTATTTTATTGAAGAACGTACGATTAAAATGAGATCAAATTACTGTTTAATAATTCATTTTGATGAAAAATGAGACTCAAACAAGGGTTATATGTGTAAACACGAGTAAAAGTAATTACGTCTTATCTATGCCTCAGGAGTCAATAGTGGAACTCATTTACGTTATTTATGATATTGTCAAACTTTCTATGTTTTATATGTTAGGGAGTTCATTATTAAATATTGTTTTGTTTAAAAAATCGGATATAGGTGAATTTTAGGATATAGGTGAATTTCAGAACGTTGTCACTGGACATGAAAACGACAATTATATTGTTACTTGTATAAATACGAGTATAAGCAGTCACGATCTATTTGTTTCCTGAAAAATAATGAGCAGTACTTATTTATATTGTAATATGTACATGAAAGGTACAAAAATTGATAGATATGTTTATTAATTTAATCGACATATATAATTGTGATGACTTATAATTTCACCATCTCAATACTATAAAAGTTATGTCATTTCAATCGTTCTTTATGACTAGTGAATCTTTTTATAATATATACTTTAGTAAGTCCACTATTAGAGTCATTTTATTGAAAAAAATCAAACTACAGCAAATAATCACTGTAGTGTCGTTTACTTTACAGATAACGGTTGGAGTGGTGTTCTATATTTCATATAATAGTTGGAGTATTATTACATCCAATGATTGTAGAAAACACAAAAAGCACACTAAATACGAAAATAATACCAACTAAATATTATTTAATACTATATTTAATAATAAAAATACAACATAAATGCTATTTTTAAGAGTGTCTTTCTCCTTTCTTTAAATATAAATGATATGATAACCCAATCTTGTTCAAATACTAAAAAAATACCCAAAATAAGTGAGAATATAATAAAAAACATAATTTTAAGATAGCAAGAATGATGTTTGAAAAGAAGAAAATATGTTATTTTAATTTTGAAGACTTAACATTGAAGAAGATGAAAGGGAAAGAAGACGTTATTTTCACTAAAAAAAAAAAAGAAAAGAAATTAGGAAGTTGGAGAAGAAATGAAAAAATTGAAAGATATTAAATTTACAGCTAAAGGATAATTTTATCATTTTGCTAGCTAAAATATTTTACAATTTTTTATTTATTTTTATTATTGGTCAAAGGCATTTAACCAAGGTTAAATACATTATCAAGTTAGGCTAATGACCAAATTCCCCTTATATATTCACTCAGTTCCCCTGTTCTCTAGTCGATTACACGCTCAGGCGCTCACATTCAATTCTACATCTATAATAATCAGTAGAGAGGCGGTGAAGTTAGAAATAAATCAAATCAGAAAATGGCGACCGGGCGAGTAGATCTAGACGGGAATCCAATTAAGCCAATTACGATATGCATGATTGGAGCCGGAGGTTTCATTGGCTCGCACCTCTGTGAGAAGCTCATGACGGAGACGCCGCACAAGGTGCTGGCGGTGGATGTGTACAGTGACAAGATCAAGCACCTGTTGGAGCACTCGGGCTCGGGCTCACCACCTTGGGCCGATCGCATCCAGTTCCACCGACTCAACATCAAGAACGACCCACGACTCGAAGGCCTCATCAAGATGGCGGATCTTGTAACGTTCTTTGATTCCTTGTCATTTCTTCACCTCTTCTTTGATATATTCTCGTGGCATTCTGGCTTTGTGTTGTGGTGGTCGGATCTGCATTGCGATTGCTTTGGAAATTTGGATTTTCAATTTTTTTGTGTGGTGTTGAGCTATTCTAGGAAAATGCTTAATTTTAGTTTCTGTGATTGCTGTTTTAGTATATTCTCGTACTGGATTTAATTCTGAATTCCAAGTTTATCTGGATCTATGCTGGATACGCGCATCTGAAATTCTGTGTTATCACGTCGGAGAGTATAACTGTATATTGATTTATTGAGATGTGCTGCGGTGAACTTTTATATTCATTTAAAGCTGTGAAAGTACTGTATTTGTTCTATATTATACGCGGATTGTTTATAATACACTGAATTCGACTTGGATTGAGTTGCATACTATTTCTTGCAATGTAGACAATCAATCTTGCTGCAATTTGCACTCCAGCTGATTACAACACGCGTCCCCTTGACACAATTTACAGCAACTTCATCGATGCTCTTCCCGTGGTAAGTGCCTCGTGTCACATTTGTTGTTCATTTGAAAGATTCAATTAGTTTTACTTGCTGGCCGAAGTGAAGTTGGTTTGTAATGTGATTGCTTTTTCTGGATTTAGGTCAAGTACTGTTCTGAAAACAGCAAACGTCTCATACACTTCTCTACTTGTGAAGTTTATGGGAAAACCATTGGGTGCTTTTTACCCAAAGCTAGTCCATTACGGCAGGTAAGCCTTTGGCGTTTCTGGAATTAAAAATTCCTGCCTCTTCTTTAGAAAAAAATTATATAAATACATATAAGAAATCTTTATTCCCATATTCTATGTTGAGATTGTTGTGACAAGAAAATTGACGTACCACAAAATATAGGATCTATTGAACGATCTCTCAGTGAGTGGTCTCTGCACTGATTCTTTGATCTATAACTTCATTGAAATGTTCAAAGCAATTGTGATTGTCTATTGGTGAATTCTTGACCTCTTGTTCCCATGAATTAAATTTTTTGGCTGGTAAGAGTCCATCTGCTCCTGTGGAGTTGTGACCTTTTCAGAACCAAATATTTTCCCAACAGTGGAGTATAATCCCTTTTGCTCTTGGCATGAGAATAAGTCCTTGTCACATAAATGTCAAAACCGATCTTTTTCAAATACTAGTGCATTGGGATTTTAATTGAACTAATAACTCGTATGCACCATTCACAGTATTTAAAAGAAAACATGCAAATTTTTAATAGTGAGGATTAATTGAAACACACATATACTTCAGGCAGTTTTGATTGCACCTATCTACTTATTTTTCTGCAATAAAGTTTAAAACATAAGTAATATGAATGTTTTCAGTGGATAATGCTTTGTAATTTGAAGATTCTATGCATCATAATGGTAGATAAGCATTGGAGGAGCAGGGTGTATTCATATGTTACTGGTGACTGTTTTTTTTATTTTTATTTTAAGCTTTAGTTATCAAACAAATAAATAATTATTGTTTGATTAAACTAACTCTGTACTTCATATTTAACGTAATTTTCAAGGACTAGACTTCTAGAGTGAAACATGACTTAAATTTTACTGAAAATATAGTACAGCCATAAAATGGATGGGAGCAAAATGACAAAGAAAGAGAAGGAAGTTGCGGAGAGCACAACTTGATTATGGAATTACTTTCTTCTCTGTTTTTATTCTCCTTCAAAATTTCTTGCAACAACTGTAGCACGTTTGATTGGAGACTGTTATTGAGACGCTGGAGTTGCTTTGCATCATGTTTTCTGCCTTCTGTTGGTTTGCAGTTGTTCCTGTTTGTCCATTGCCCAATAACTTCGTGTTAGCTGTCTTCAACTTCCTTTAAATTAATAGTTTGGGATTCTAGTAGGGACTATCACTATTTTGTTATATTATAAACCAAATCTCCATCCTGTAACTGAGTTTTGTTATCTTTCAAGTTATAGTCCACTGTACAATATTGACAAAAGTTAGTATTAATTTTTGTTGGACAATGCAAAACGTATTAGTCAATGGACAATAGGTTCTGCAAAGCGCATTTCATGGCAAAACTTTGGGCATTGTGTAACAGAGTTTGTGATCCAAAACTAAAAGTCTATTCTAGGATTAACAAGATTAAAAACAGAAGTTGATTTAAACTGGGTTTGAGTAGTTTTGATCGAGAGCGTGTTTGGGACTGCTTATCTTATCTTACAAATGGGTGGACCTACCTTCAAAATAAGCCAACATAAGCCAGACGATTGGAGCTTATCTTTAAGATAATCCAACTCAAACATGCTCTAACCAGGACTTTGATAGTTTGATTAGTATATTTTAGAAGTTTGCTTTGATTTAAGTTCTTAACTCTGTAAAAGGGAACCTAGAATTTTCAATTTGGACACAACATTTTATTGATTACAACTTACAGATGTATTGAATTTTTCCTCCTAAGTCTTCTCTCTTTTTCCGCCCTCTTCTGTCTTTTCTTTTCTCCCTCTTCCTTTCAAATTCTTCATCAGGTTGCCTCCTTGGGTCCTCAGGTGATTGATTATATTTACACCTCAGGTGATTGATTATACTTGGAACAGAAATATGTAATAGTAAACTTAAATTCTTCCCTTCATGAAAATAAAAAGGCTAATTGACCTGCTTATTATGGAAACTCTCTGAAAAAATGGGTGAACCATGACAAGCAATTTTTCTCCATTATTCAAATAAATTGTGCCATACCTTCATATCTGTTGATAACGGTCATAAGATAGGGTTTACGAATCAAACCATGGGAAATTGCTGATTGAAATATTATTTGAGCTTATAACTCCTCGATGGATACTATCAAGTAGGGTTTGCAAATCAAACCATGGGAAATTGCTGATTGAAATATTATTTGAGCTTATAACTCCTCGATGGATACTATCAAGTAGGGTTTGCAAATCAAACCATGGGAAATTGCTGATTGAAATATTATTTGAGCTTATAACTCCTCGATGGATACTATCAAGTAGGGTTTGCAAATCAAACCATGGGAAATTGCTGATTGAAATATTATTTGAGCTTATAACTCCTCGATGGATACTATCAAGTAGGGTTTGCAAATCAAACCATGGGAAATTGCTGATTGAAATATTATTTACGGCAATAAACTCCTTGATTGTAAGATCATACATCATGCTGTCTTGGTGCTTTTAGTTTTAAATTGGTGGATGCTTGTCGTTGCCTCCATCCATGTATCTGAGGGCTTTATTTGGTTTTAGAGGAGAGTTAGCTCCAGTCTGGAAGGGAAAAAGAAAAAGAATAAGAATCTGGGTGGCCTGCATTAAAGTGAAGAAGAATCCTTGGGACATGTGCAACTTATTTCAGTGCTGCTTTTCTGCAGTAAAGCTTTAGGTAGAACTGGAGCGATGCACTGTTTTCCTAGTGTTAGCCAGAGAGTGAGAAAGTTTACTTGATTATTGCCTCTATTATTGCATGCTTTGTTGCATATGATCGGATACTTCTTTACTCCGTTTTGCAAGATATACTGCAAGTGGAAATTTTAAGTTGATATTTGCTGTTCATGTCATGGTTAAAACATACTAGTTTTCTTCTAAGTGTCTTAACTTCCATGTTAGAGGATGCATGACCTTGGAGAATCAGTGTTGATTGAATCGTCACTGCAATGCCTGTAGATCTTGCTTTATTAATTTATTATCTGTTTACTGGGATTTGAAATATTATTTGAACATAGGTTTATATGATTTATATGGATTTTCTGTTTTTTATCTTATCCAATTTAAGAATGTTATTCATAACTAGAAATACGGCTTTACAAGATTCCAAATATTCTTGAGTAATTAGAGATTTTCTGCTGGAATCTTGAAATAAGTCATTGTATATAACTATTGAATTCACGAAACATTTGGACTAACTCTTCACATAAGAGTCTTCAATGATAGACGCCAAGTCTCTCCTCAGCACCCAGAAAGACACCATATGTAGTTTTGCCTTCATAATTTATTAGTATTGTACACGAGTCTCATGGTAAATTTCTTTGCTTGTGTTTTGACGATGCCTGCTTTTTATCTGGAGCATTTTACTGCACTATTCCGTGCCTTAACAGTTCTTTGATGCAGTTTTCTGCC